AGATATAGATCTGTTCTTCCCTGAGTCCCGTCTCGCAGTGTTTGTGTGTGTCCTCTCTCATCACGAATTGCTTTTTGCATACAATAAATTGGAGACCAACAGTCTTGGCCTTTAGTCCTCAAAGCCTCCCCTTTAACTCCACAGCTGTCAGCTGTTCGGGCCTGGCATCCGTTTCAGTGCATTCCTGCTCATTCCGAGTCGCCGCATTTCCTATTTTAGTTTTTGATCAGTTTTTAACCAAGTGCAGCAAGTCAGTAGTGAAAAACCTGGCCAAAAAGAGGTGAGACTACACAAAAACAATACAAAAGCAGACAAAAAAGTTTATATAGTCACGCATTCATTAAGAGAAACCCATATTGAGGCAAAATAAATTAATATAATGAGTACAGAATGAAGACAACAACTGGGGGGTCTTTTGTAGTCATATTTTGTCATTTAAAGAGCAGATAATGACATGTACCTGGGCTGTACTGTGGATCTGAGGGATTCTGTTCAAAGCAGAAGATGTCAAACTAACTCATTTAGATGTATTACTCTCAAAAAATTTATTATTTTCATACACAAATTTAATAATGAAGTACAAGTTTGTTATTTATCCGCTCTCTACCTCTGATTTAGTAACATTTATTATCATATTTTAATTAATACAAGGTTGGTAGAAGAACAAAATAATAATAAAGTAAAGCCAGTGGCACAAACAAATATAGCCACAGTGTTGGAGTGCATGCCTTGTTGTCATGATTAAAAGAGTTTGGCCAGTATTCATTGGCAATCATACCTGCTTCCCTATCCTGCTCTGTGGTGGTTGCTAAGTAACTTGCCAGCTTATCTTTAGAAATCTGGACATCTCACCATGATTATACTGTTATATAACTGCATGCATCTAATATGCAGCGGAAGTCAATACAACTCCCCCATATTTCTAAACACATCACAGAAGTAGGGGTGCGTGTTAGGCTTATGCTAATGATTGTTAAAATCTCATTTTCCACGTCGGGAAAAATATAATAATCCTGCAGAGGCAAACAGCATTCATGTTTCTTTTTTTTTATTGTGACATCATTGGTGATTGGTCATTGGGTATTACAATAAAGCAGATTTTCACAATAAATAGCACGTCCTTGCTCTAGAATAAACACGGTAAGCATTTGTGGTTTAACCTCACCAAACTCCTTCTCTCTCTAGTCTGACTGGCACTGCTCCAAGCTTGGGGAGAGTAAATGAGCATCGGCTTGTTTCAGCCAGAATTCTTTTCTCTATTCAGATGCTGAGCTCTCTGAACAAGCAGGGCTGACTCCCCGATGACTGGATGGCATTCAGCTACACCTCCACCCTGCCCTTCTTTCTCTGCCTTCTCCGTTTCACCCTGTGTGTCCTCATTTCCCTCTCCTCACCCTCACCCAGTCTCCCAAAAACGATGAAACCGAAGAGTGAAAAGATGCCAAATGTAAAGTTGTTTTGACGTATTTTTGGATTGACACTGTACCCTGCCTTTGTAGCCTTTGAGCATTAACTCATTCTGTGTTCCTCTTCTCTATTGTCTCACTTCTATCTACCCCCCCCCCCCCCCCCCCCCCC